CGAGGATTCCTCGTCTCTTCAAACAAGGGGCTCTCGCTGCAGGCCTCCTCGAAACATGCAGCCTCGGATGAGCTGTTTTCGACACCATATTTGTGAAGGGGAACTGGAACACACAAATAAATACACACAAATAAAAAGATTCCCCATATTTTACCATATTTCCTGGGTTTTTGTCTTCCCCCCCACTTCCCATATTTTCCCATATTTTCTGGGAAATCGAGGATTAATTGTGTCTGTGTGTTTTTTCCCCTCCTGAATTTGTACCGGAGAACGGCAGACCACGCATGTGCACGGCAGACCACACAGGAGCACCGCCGGCCACGCAGGAGCACGGCAGACCGAACAGGAGCACGGCAGCCGAAACAGGAGCACGGAAAGAGCAGAAACGCACGGCAGACCACAGGAGCACGGCATATTATCGGGTCGGGCGAAAGGGGGGGATAGCAAAGGGGGGGCTTGAGAATCAGCTCACGTAGCTGATTTTCCCGGCGCCTCCCGGCGCCGGAGGCGACTATGTATCGAGGAATGGGCCCCTCGGTGAGGCCGAGACCAACTGCATGCAGCAAATTTCGCAACCCCCCCTTTCGCAATCCCCCCCTTTCGTCCGGCCCGATATTATCGGAGCACGGCAGACCACGCAGGAGCACGGCAGACCAAACAGGAGCACGGCAGACCACACCGGAGCACGGCAGACCACGCAGGAGCACGGCAGACCAGAAACGCACGGCAGACCGCAGGAGCACGCCATATGACTGGCGCACGGCAGACCACGCAGGAGCACGGCAGACGACACGGGAGCTCGGCAGACCACACCGGAGCACGGCAGACCAGACAGGAGCACGGCAGACCGTGCAGGAGCACGGCGGACCGCACGGGAGCACGGCGGAGCACACGGCAGCACGGCAAGACCCCCACGGGAGCACGGCAGACTTACGCGCAGGAGCACGGCAAGACCACACGGGGGGACGGCAGAGCGCAGGAGCACGGCAGACCACACGAGCACGTCAGGGTCTCTCAAGAGCACTGCGGATCACAGGGGAAGGGCAGACCACAGGATCACGGCAGACCCCACGGGATCACGGCAGAGAACGCAGGAGCACGGCAGATCACACAGGAGCACGGCAGACTACAAGGACACGGCAGATCACAGGAGCACGGTAGACAAGAGGAGCACGGCAGACCACAGGAGCACGGCAGTTGGCAGGAGCACGGCAGACGACACAGGAATACGGCAGACCAAACAGGAGCACGGCATGCCACAGGAGCACAGCAAAACGCGTCACAGGAACACGGCAGACCACACAAGAGCACGGCATGCCACGCAGGAGCACGGCAGACCACAGGAGCACGGCAGACCACAAGCGCCCGCCCGCCAAGCACGCAACGCGCACGCACACCGTACTCCCCCCGCCCGCCCGCCCAGCACACCCAGCACGTACACGTAGCAGACCACGGCAGCAGTGGAGACCATCACGGCACACCAGAGGAGCACTGCAGACAAGCACGGTAGACCACGGGAGCACGGCAGATCAACACAACAGACCACAGTCAGTCAGTCAGTCAGTCAGTGGGCCGTGCATCCTGAGGACGCGTAGGCAAAAGAGCACATAAAAAATCAGGGTGGTGCGCCAAAAGCGTCCCACATGCAGTCAAGAGCAGCCCGCCAAACGCGAGGATGGTGCGCCAAACACACACACACACATGAGTCACAAACTTGCAACTACTTCTTTTGCCCATTGTTGTCTTGGTCGGCCTCTGCGACGGCGGTTGGCCCAATTTTTCGGGGTGCCGTCCGCTGCACAGTAGACCACAGCAGCTTGGCAAACCAGCGCGGCAGACCACAGCAGCAAAGCAAACCAATGCAACAGAACAGCGCGGCAGATCAATACAATGATATGATGGAATATGTGTTGGTCGTCTGCGATACGTTTCTGACTTTCCTCGACGTTCTCAACACGACGTTGTCTGACAAGCTTCGTGGACAGAGCTGCACTTCCCATTCTTGTCCGGTCAGGTGTCCTACTGGGTTCTCGATTTAAGAACCAACAAAGACATTTGAGAATCCAGCGGGAAGATGGGATTGGCGCGTTTTGACTCCGCTTGAAGAGAAAATCGAAGATCAACTAATCCTGCAGGAGGCGAGGGTCGTCGCATGCCCGATTGATCCCATATTGGTGCCTTTGGAATTGTACACAAGCGCATCGGCATAATACCCCAAACGTATCCAACACGCGTGCAAAACGCCATACCAAACGCATGCGACACATACTTGTGGTGGACACGTCTACGACACGTATAGACAGCGCTTACGAAACGTAGATAAATTGCGTACACAAAATGCCAGCAAAACGTATGCAAGAGGGGGCCCAGAGGAGGAATCCGACCTGACACGTTGAGCTTTCCATTCAAGATCGCGCGCTTCCAAGGGGGGACCAAAAGCCCCCTATAGGCATCCAGGAGGCCCTAAAAGCCTCCCAGGCGGCCCCCCCAGAGGCCCCCGAGAGCCCTCCAAGAGCCCCACGAGACCAACAGACCCTGGCATCCATCCCGGAGGCGCATGACCCACACCTCAGGCGCGGTGGCGGAGTGGGCCGAAGGCCATTCGATAGTCCTGGCTCTCACAAGAAGCTGCTCTTCCACCCCTGTTCTCCCCCTCCACCCCTGACGCTTCCCCCGAGGCCGCCGACGGCCACGGCGGCGAGAGCGCTTCAAAGACTGGGGACAAAAGGGCGTCACATGTGACAGCCTCCTCCTCCTCCTCCTCCTCCTCCTCCTCCTCCTCCTCCTCATCATCATCATCATCATCATCATCATCATCATCAGCAGCAGCATCAGCATCAGCATCAGCATCATCATCATCATCATCATCATCATCATCATCATCATCATCATCATCATCATCATCATCATCATCATCATCATCATCTCCCTGGAGGGCCGCGCGCGTGAGAGAGCACGTTGGCGGCAGCGACCTTAAGAAGAATCCTCAAGAACCTTTCAAGGAAACCCTCATAAATCCTCAGGAATCCCTCAAGAACCCTCAAGAAACCTCAGGACACTGTCAGGGATCACTCAAGGATCCCTCAGGAATCCCTGAGGAGCCCTCAGGAATCATCAGGAATCCCTCAGCAAGCCTTAGAGGAACCCACGGGAATCCTTCACGAAGCCGTGGAGGCGCCTTCTGGAAGCGCCTATCAAGCGCCCATCAAGAGCCTGTGTAGCGCCTATCCAGCGCTTGAAGTGCTTGGAAACTCAAACAAGAATGGTTGGGATCTGGACCGTTCCGGGTGCTTTACTGGTTGGGATCTGGACCGTCGAATTGGGATCTAAACAGTCCAGTCGGAATCTGGAACTTTCTCGGGGGGAGGAGGGGGGGGCGGCCTTGTAAGAAGGCGGGGGAGGCTCCAAGAAGGCATCTGGCGCCATCTTGGGTTACGTTGTGCCATCTTGGAGCCCACTTAGGGCTAAGATGGGATGCAGCAGGACATACTAGTACGATGTGTCTTCCTTGGAGGTGCGCGTCCGACCAGATTACACTCAAGCGGTATGACCAGAAAGCGCCCGCAACCGAGCATGTACTATAAGATTTCTAAGCGCGCATCGCCCCTCCGGGGGGCCGACGCACACATGGTAGAAGCATGTTTTGGGGAAACCGCTAAGAAGAAGGGGGACGAGGGAACTCGCAAAACTACGTACGCCAGGAAGGTTTCTTGGATTTTCTGCCCCCGACAGTGCCGAAGGCTCCGCGCCGACCGTGCTGATGGGGACGCGTCCGGCCTGCAGGCTTCTCTGAAGCCTCCTTAGAAGCCCACTCTGGGGAGGCAAATGCGTGTTGAGATAAATTTCTCCTCTGGGGGGTCCGAGCAGATGGGGTCGGAGGATCGCGCCGCATTGCCGCTGCATCGCCGATGCATCGCCGCTGCATCGGCGACGCCAGCGATGCACCGCCGCCGTCGGCGGGGAAGAATTCGGGATCCGAATCTGGCCGCATCGCCGATGCATCGGCGATGCGGCGCGATCCTCCGACCCCGTCCACTCGGACCCCTCCTGGGAGGCCCTGGATGAGCACCCCCCGCCGCCTCCTCGGAAGGCCGCCCCCATCCCCAGACCTCCGACGCCGCGCTCTTGCTCGCGGCGGGGCTCCCTGGAGGTCTCGACCACTCCCCCGGGGCCGGCTTCTCCTCCGGAGAAGTCTCTTGGACAGCCCCAGGGGCCCGGTGAGGCCCCCCTGGAAGCCGAGCGCGGCCAACGGGCCTCCCGCCGTGGCTCGGCCACGACGCGAGGACGGCACGGCCGGGCCACCGCCTCTGCGCGCGCCGCCGACGGCAGCACCACCGCGCCTCCGCCCGCCAGCGATGGGGCCCTGAACTGAGTGGAGCGGTGCGGGCTGCACCGGCCACGGGCAGGAGGAGGAGGAGGAGGAGGAGGAGGAGGAGGAGGATTGAAGGAGGAAAGGAGGAGGAGGAGGAGGAGGAGGAGGAGGAGGAGGATGTCCCCCGAGGGTCGGACCTGTCGAGGCTTGGCGGTGCTCGTCGGCTTACCTCTCCAATCTCGAGCCTGTACCTCGGAGAGGCCCAGTTGAGACCACGGAGGCCTCCTCTGGCACTGCTCGTTATTTGTTGGCCTCCTGGAGGCGTCTCGCCGCCGCGGCCGGATCCGCCTCGGAAAACGGGTCGGGATGGACCCGGGGAGGGATCCGGAGACTGATTTTGACATCAGACATCCTGTTGCAGTCAGAGCCGGCGGAGACTGATTTTGACTGGATTCGGGCTGCTCGGCCACCCACTCGCCTCGAGCCCTGGGCGGCCCAGGGGCTCCGCACAGGCACGGACCCAGCTGTCAGGGAATGCTTCAGAGGGCGCGTGGAGGCACGCCTGTGGGAGGCCCATGTCCACGCAGGGCTTCAGGTCCCCTCGGGTCGGCTCGGGGCCAGCTAGAATCCGGTATGACATTACGTGGATGGGGGAGGATTGTGACGCTAGGGCTTTCCGTCCCCCATCCTCATCGCCTGGCTTCCCACCAACAAAATAGTACACGCGGTTCAGGCACTGGAAGAAGGCGATGGAGAACAGGAAAATGGCGAAGCCCGCCAAATATACCCCGATGTAGGCGGACGGGTACGGGTACGCAGATTTCGACGCCAGATCCTTGAAGGTCATGTCAGAGAGCACAGTCCATGTGATCCAAGACAAGAAACCAGTCACGAACGCGACGACGCCGCAGATCATGGTCTGGGCCTTTGCGGCGTCCAGCTTCTTCTTTTTCTTCTTGAGGAACTCGGCCTCCTTGGTGAGCATCACCGGGAATGCGAACGAAGCGCTGGCGGAGACCAGCTGCAAGAGGACGCAGATGACTCCCGTGAAGGCCATGACGGAGTACGCCGAGCAGCGCTGGCTCACAGCCTGCTTGCAGGCAGGCCACGCCGCGCATCCGACCTGGGGGACGCAAAGATACGGATATCACTACTCCAGATTTCGTAATAAAAGGGAGGGGGTCTGGACCCTCCAAGACAAGCCATTTCAGACCCCCCCCCCCCGTGGGAAAACCCTCCAAAACACCGTCCCCAGACCCCCCCAGGCCCTCCGAGATAGCTTGGAAGAGACCCCCCCCGAAATGAGACCCCCCTCCCTTTTATTACGAGATCTGGAGTTACTCCCTGGGCCGCTCCCGGGGCGCGGCCTGACCAAGACTCCGAGGCGAGTGCAGCCGCGGCGACGAGCCCACCGGAAAGCCCCCAAAAAGAAAGAACGAGAGAAAGGCAGGGTAGGCCAACATCGAATCGGGAAGTCGGATCGACTTGGAGTGCACGTCGGACCGGGCCGCAGCGGCACGGGGACGAGATCAAACATCGGATCGCCTGCAGCAGGGTGCGCAGAAGCACTCTGTAGGTATCGAGCCGCATCGGATCGCTGGGAGCTCGAAATCGGATCGGATCGAACTTCCCGAAACCGTGATCGGATCGGATCGATCGGATCGAAATGGGCCCTGGAGGGTGGCACTGTTGGCATCTTCCTCCTCCGACGACCAAGGCGCCACCGGAGCCCATCATTCCTCCAGCGGCTCCCAGGATCCCCGACACCGGGTCGGGCCTGTTGAATTCCTGCTGCTTGAAGCACACGTCCTTGCGGAGCTTGAGCCACGACCTGCCCATGCCGAGGTTGTCGCCGATGTGCAACAGGGAGTACCTGCGATCCATGGAGAAGCGCACGGTCATCGAGGACTGTGCCAGAGCGTACCTCCACGGCAGGTGCGGGACAATGGTCGCCAGCATACACAGGCCCCCGGTGACGAAGTTGAACACCATGAACTTCTCACCTGCGGTCCAGGATACCTTCTCCTTCTTCCCCATCGCTGAAGATCTGAAACGCCCACAGGTACTGGAGCAGGGCAAAACAGGCGCTGATCTCGCACCCGCGTTTCTTGAGAAGATACGAAGTCTTGAGCCTGAGTAGCTTCGGACGCGGAAAAGAAAGGAAGAGGAAGTAACAGGAGGAAGAGCGGAAGAGGAAGCAGAAAGGTCTCAGGACGGAGAAGAGCGGAAAAAAATGGAAGTAGGGAAAAGGGAGGAGAAATGAAGGGCAAGAGAGGGAGAAGGAATACGGGATAAGGTGAAGGGAAGACGTCGTCAAGCTGTACAGGAAGAAGTGAAAACAAATGTCAAGTTCAAGGTTACTTCACTCGTGAAGAATCAGGTGATACATTAGTGCTGGCGTGTGCAACGATGCCTTAACTCGCGCATTGGGTTAATTACTGTGAGCTGCACGCTGGTTCACCATAAACGACGCGGCCGGAGTATTGTACTTCTTGGCGCTGTATCGGAGCCAACGAATTTGCAAGCGCACTGAGAATCTGATTGAACCAATGGCGCATCAATGATATGGACAATTTCGACCACACCGTTGAAGGGACACCACCGTAGCGGGTACGAATATTAGCCGTCACGGCCACTGGCCGAACCCAAAACAGATTTCAAAAAAAATGATGCCGCGGCGGCAGTGATGCTTGACGCAATGCTTCATCAGCACCCGCCATCTCTGGATGAATACATCCCGTGCAATACCAAACGTCACTCTTGTGAGCTGGAAGAAGTTGGCACCAGCTGTGCTCATCGCATTAGCTCAAAACACGATGATTATGTTTGGGCTGCCAGCTGCCATATCTGCTGCTGCCCCAGACGAACACTGGGCACACAGGTATTCGACATCACAGATGTGTGCACGTACCCGTCGCGGGCGCGTGTCTTTGGCTGTTTCGTGCATGCTAACTTTCCTGGCAACTCGATCTCACGGTAAAGAATGCCCACTTCGGGCATGGTCTGTGCAAACATCTGATGGTGCTGATACAGCCAGGCAGCCACGTATAGACAGTACATATACGACCACCGTTCGGGTGATAAGGAGGTTCGGGGGGGAGGGAGAGACCAACTTCCCACTCAATCGATCTCACTATCGACCTCACTATCGATTTCACTCTCGATCTCAATATCAATCTCATAATCGATCACACAGTCGATCTCACAATCGATCTCACTATCCCTCTCACTATCGGATTCGCTATCGGTCACACGATCGATCTCACGATCGACCTCACAACAGCCCTCAATATAGATCTTACTGCCTATCTTAGTGTCGACCTCGCGTTCGATCTCACTATCGATCTCACTATCGCTCTGACTATCGATCTGGTCAAACGATCGATCTGACAATCGACCGCACTATCGATCTCACTGTCGATCTCACTATTGCTCTGACTGTCGATTCCACTATCGGTCGCACTATCGATGGAACTATCGATTTCACTCGCGATCTCACTATCGATCTCACTCTCGATCTCACTATCGATCTCACTATCGCTCTGACCATCGATCTCGCTATCGGTCACACGATCGATCTAACAATCGGCCGCACTACCGATCTCACTATCGATCTCACTATCGCTCTGACTATCGATTCCACTATCGGTCGCACGATCGATGCAACTATCGATTTCACTCGCGATCTCACTATCGATCTCAGTCTCGATCTCAACATCGATTTCACTATCGATCTAACTATCGAACTCACTATCGATCTCACGGGGCACCACGGGACACTGCGGGACACCGCGGGACACCACGGGACACCACAGGACACCACGGGACACCATCAGGACACAACGGCAGGACTCCACGGGACACCGCTGGACACCAGGAGACTCCACGGGACACCACAGGACACCATCAAGGGACACCATGGGACACCGCGGGACACCGCGGGACACAAAGGGACACCACGGGACACCACGGCATACCATCGGGACGCCACGGCGGGACACCGCGGGACACCATCGACACACCACCAGGACACCATCGGGACACTGCGGCGGGACACCACGGCCGGTGGGCGCGGAGTTCTGTCCCCGCCGAGCCCTGGCCAGAGGAGGGTGCAGTCTCCTCGCCCGCCCAGGTAGAGTCGCCTCGCCCGCATGCACGACACGAACCCGAACCGAAACCGATTTCAAGGTGGGGGGCTCTCCGTTCCACTTCGATCTCACCCTCTCACCTTCGATGAGTATTCGCATGGCGTGCACATGAGTCCAGAGTCAAAGTGCGCTCAACACGAGGTTTCTACAATGATATGAATATGGGTTACAAACCGCACGATGCACTTCACAGTCTCTCCCTTCCCTCATCTTTGCAGTTCCCCTCATTTCACTCTTCCTCGTGCGCCAGTGTCTCCCCACCCTGGTCCCATCCTGGCTCTATTATTGAAACCCTCTCGAAGAAAGCGACGACGTAAGAAACTTAGTTAATGCCAAGCCACACAGACGAACGATTGGAGATCATGCTCAATTCACATGGCATTCGTCCATCAATCACAAGAATCAGACCTTGCACCTGGGCGCCCCCAAAAACATAAAACGACATACTGACTCGGCGTGAGAATCTGGCCAACCTCTCGAGCCGATCCGGGCGATGCCTTCCTACTTCTCCTGATCTTACTTCACTGACTCGCCGATGTCCTCCTCATCATCCTCATTTTTGGTCCTGCCAGTCGGTGTACTCCGTGTCTCCGTGTGTGCACCTCCTCCTCATCATGGCTTGAGTCGTAGTGTGGCTCAGGTGCGCTTCGGCTGCTCATAGTCAGGCCCCTGTGCTTCCATATGAGACAGCAAGTATGGGTGCGTTAAATTGACCCCACGAATGTAGAGAGCGTCCCCTCAACTACAAAGTATACTGGCGGCTGAGGGTCAGCATGCGCAACTAATCGGCCGTCGTGGATTGTATATTGAACGTGTGCCGAGCACACCTAAGTAAACCCATGTCTGACAGTTGCGGTGGGCGTTCATCCTTGATATACGTTTTGGCTGAGCCTGTGCTGTCTCAAATGCACGCTGAGACATCGACCGCTAGACTGGAAAAGAGATCACGAACGGTCAATCATGCTTTCTTAGCGTGTCGCGGCGGCCAAGGGCCGTCACTCGCCACCCCCCCGTGCACGCTCCGTCTTCACTCCACCCAGGGCACGCCACCCCCCGTCCACCCCCCCGTTCACGCACGGCGCTGCCGCGTCCCCGGGTCCAGGCGGGGAGCTGCAGAGGCTTCGAGCACGAGGTGCGAGGTGCGAGCTGGACGTTGTGAGCTACAGCGCTGGGAGCAGCGCGTGCGCCAGGGGTGGCAATGGCAACTCGCACTGTCGCTGCTCAGTGGGTGTCAGAGGTTGAGTTGGAGCGCAACGCTGTCAGCTACGACGCTGGAGTCAGTGTGTCAAGAAAACGGGAAATGGCAACATGCTCCGGCGCTATCGCCGGAATGGGGGAAGCTAAGTTGGAGCCCGCTGTCATCAGTTGCAGCGCTGGGGCAAGTGCGAGAAGGGTGGGCACTGCAGCAGGCCCTGTCGCTGCCCAGCAAAATGCGGCAGGCGGCATTGGAGCCCAACGTGATCAGTTACAGCAGTGGGATCAGGGTGGAAGGCGACGCTGCAGCGAGACGCTGCAGCTACACTCCCGAGATCAGCGCGGGTGGGAAGGTCGGGCAGTGGGTGCAGGCCCTGTCGCTCCTCAGCGAACGTGGGCAAAGTTCGAGCCAGACGTCAGCAGCTACAGCGCTGGGTCAGCACTCAGCGCAGCCTGAATGGAGGCTGGAAGTGGCATAGCACACTGCTTCTTCACATCACCTCTCAGTCAATACGGACTCTTGCGGCGATCAGCTGCAACCCCCGAGGACCAACCTCCCCCACTGTCTTGTCTCACTGCAGATTCACATCAGCGGCGGTTTGCTGCGTCCCTGGAGGACCAGCAATCGGAGACACCAACCATCAAATAGGCAGAGGCCTCGAGCACGAGGTGCGGGGTGCGAGCTGGACGTTGTGAGCTACAGCGCTGGGGAGCAGCGCGTGCGCCAGGGGTGAGCAATGGCAACCCACACTGTCGCTGCTCAGCGGGTGTCTGGGATTGATTTGGAGCGCAACGTTGTCAAAAACGGGGAATGGCAACATGCTCTGGCGCTATTGCCGGAATGGGGGAAGCTAAGTCGGAGCCCACTGTCATCAGTTGCAGCGCTGGGATCAGGTGCGAGAAGGGTGGACACTGCAGCAGGCCCTGTCGCTGCCCAGCAAAATGCGGCCGGCGGCATTGGAGCCCAACGTGATCAGTGATAGCAGTGGGATCAGAGTGTGCGTGAAGGGCGGACAATGGCAGCAGGCACTGTCCCAGCTCGGCGGGTGTGGCTCTCGCTGCGCAGCGACTGGTGGAAAGCGACGCTGCAGCCAGACGCTGCAGCTACATTCCCGAGTTCTGCGCGTGTGGGAAGGTCGGGCAATGTGTGCAGGCCCTGTCGCTCCTCAGCGAATGCAACGGGCAGAGCTTGACCCAGACGTCATCAGCTACAGCGCTGGGTCAGCACTCAGAGCAGCCCGAGGGCGGAGGCTGGAAGTGGCATCGCACTCTGCTTCTACACAGGGGCTGCGGCAAGCCTTTTCTCGCCGCCAGGCAGGCGGGGGGGGATGCGGTGGCCCACTCCCTGCCCTGGGGCAGGAAGTCCTCCGCCTCCCCCCCGTCCGCCTGGCGGTGAGCGCGGCCTTGCCTCTTCACCTCTCTGTCAATATGGACTCATGCGGCGATCAGCTGCGACCCCCGAGGACCCACCTCCCCCACTGTCTTGTCCCACTGCTGATTCACATCTGCGGCGGTTTGATGCGTCCCTGGAGGATCAACAATCGGACACACCAACCATCAAATAGAGATCATAGCGGCGATCAGCTGCGACCCCCGAGAAGATGAAAGAGAGACCATAGCGGCGATCAGCTGCGACCCCCGAGGAGATGAAAGAGAGATCACAGCGGCGATCAGCTGCGACCCCCGAGAATGACCATGGCCCCTGACCCACGGATTCGGGGCCAGGCTGAGGGGAGAGGCGCTGCTCCCCCTCGCCTCTCCCCTCTCGGGCCAGGCGGGTTTCCCCCGCCCTTGGCCCCGGGGCCCGCCCGACGTACTGCAGACGTCGGCGTGGTTGCCCCCCCCCCCAGGGCCGCCCGTGCTCCCCGCTGCCCGTGGTCTGGCTCATCACTCTCAGCGGCGGCTAGCTGCGGCCCTGGAGGACCACGTGGTGTGTGTGTGTGTTGGCGTTCCCCGGGTCTTGGGCGGAAGTGCCAGCGGCGGACTGGGTCTGGCGTTGCCCCCTGGCCCTCGTGTCCACCGCAGTGCCGCTCCCCCAGGCGCATCGCCCTATGACATCGGCTCGCCCCCTCGCACTGGCGCCCCTCGCCTTAGGGCATCGGTACGCCTGGCTCGCACAGACGCCACGTGCCTCGGGAGGTACAGCCAGGTCTGTTCACTCGGGATACGCTCGTCCCCACCAGTGCCGCCCCCCCTTTCTCTCCACGCTGGCGATGCTCACCACGCCAGCTGGTCTCCCCCCCCTCCCTCTGAGGCCTGACGCCGTGCCGGCACGCGCTGCGTGGCCCACAGTCGCTTGGTTCCCCCTTGCACTGTGGGGTGGTCTGACGGTTGGTGGTATCGCCTCGGAGTGGTTCAGCCTTCCGCGGCAGCTACAGCACCCCAGGCTCACCACCAGCTTCTGGCAGGATGCGTTGCACCACGTCCCGCGGCAGCTCAGCCCCCCTAGCGAGCACACGTCGTCCAGGGCGTTTGGAGCCTGGCGCCCCACCAGCGACTCACTCCACCGGCCTCGCACTTGCCCCCACTTAGATTGACGGACTTGGTTGTCCTGGTTCACGTCTCATACTGTGGCAGGCACCGAATGCGTTGGCCACTCGAATTCTGGTCATTTTGTCCAGTGCACGTGCTCGAGCTTGCAGTACGTCAGCCAGTTCAGCATCACCCAGCCTGCAGCTGCCGTCTGAGGGGGCCGGCCGACGCTCCTGTTTTAGCCAATTAGCCTCGCCCGTGGCCCGGACGCTGCCTTCGCCGCCTGATGCTTGTCTCGCGGCCGCGACCAAAAAAGTGTCGCGGCGGCAGCCCGGCGACACACCAGGCACTGCAAGCGGATAGCGTGTCGCTCCGCCTCGTACTCCTGTCCCTGTTCGCCTTTTCCACTCGATGTCCCTTCTTCCTCTCCTACTTCTGCTCCTGCCCCTGCCCCAGACAGGGAGGACAGCTAATGCGCAGAAGCGGGAGGAGTGAGACCGGGTGTTGCCAGAGGTGGCGCCTGGAGTGCCGCCAACGCGTTTGGCCATGCGGAGCCCGTGAGGGGTGCGCGGTGCTCAGTGCTCTGGAAGTCGTACGTGCCTCCCTGGGGTGCCTGGGAGGAGGAGGAGGAGGAGGAGGAGGAGGAGGAGGAGGAGGAGGAGGAGGAGGAGGAGGAGGAGGAGGAGAGGGCGAGGAGGAGGAGAGGGAGAAGGGAAAGAGGAGGAGGAGGAGGAGACTGGGGCCACTTTGGGGCCAGGGCCACCCTCTGCCAGCACGCAGGCAGGAAGCGGGTCCTGACGGAAACCAGTCCTGCACCCAAGGGCTCTCCCCCGGGCCAGCTCCTCATCACGAGTCATGTTTTTTTCTTGTTGCTTGGCCTCCAGGGGCCCTGGGAGGGCCCCAGGGAGGCCCAGCATCGGCCAGAAGCCTGCAGGACCCGCTCGCCTCGGGAGCGCTCTGCTTCACGGACGCCTCTGGCAGCACCCGGCGGGGAAGAGCCCCCTGCCAGGGAGTTAGGAGGCAACTACTGGGAGGTTTTCGTCGGAAAGATTAAATAAAATCAAGCCCCATTGGGGGGCTGTTACGCCGGAGTGGGCCTCGGATTAAGCCGGATTAAGCCGGATGAAACGGGATTGAGCCAGATTAAGCGGGATTGAGCGGGATTAAGCCGGATTTCGGACCAGGGCAAAATCAGAATTTGACCTCCCAGGAGTTGCATCCAGAAGGGAGTAGGCGCCGCACTGACCCGGATCAATGCAAGCCCCGGTCGGTCAGGCTCTGCAGGGTCCTGCCAGATCCTGCAGGATCCTGCAAGATCCCGCACGCCGGCCAGGCTCGATGCACCTCTGGCGCTGCAGGATCCTGCAAGATCCGGCGCGCTGGCTGACACCTGGTTGCATCAACCCCCGTCTCAAGGCTCCCGACCAGGGAGTGGGCCGCCGGAGCCGGGCTGCCCAGACCACTCTATCTGCCCGTCGTTGTCGAAGTCGGCCAGCACCGCCGCCCTGTCGGCGGCCTGGCCGTGGCGGCGCGGCGGGGGGGAGGAGGAGGCAGAAGGAGCGGCGGCGCCGGAGGCGGGAGGAAGCGGAGAGGAGGCAGTGATGCTGTCAAGAGTGCCGCTCGAGATGGTGGCTGGTGACAGCGGTGCAGGCACACGTAGGTGTCGGGGTGTGCGGGCCAAGGAACGGAGAGAGGGGGTACTGAATGAGAGAGGGAGAGAGAAGAAAGAGGAGACAGAGAAACGACAGAGGGAAGGGGAGAGAGAGAGAGAGAGATTCGGGCACGTCGCCGCAATGGGACGAGGACGGCTGTAACACTATCAGTTCAGGGTTCAGGTCATTGCAGCGAGGAGGACAATACTTGTGGAGGAGAGGAGGAGAAAGAGAAGACGAAGGCGCCAGCTGCGACCAGCAGAACCGCCTGCAGCTCAAAGCTCGACGGAGAAGGAGGCAAAGCCAGAACCAGAGGCGGTCAAAGATCATGGGCACCGACCCCTCAGCACACATACGCCTCTACCTGCTGATGCGGATACCAGACTCCAGCGAACTCGGCAGATCGAATGCTGGAAGAAGAAGACGCCGCCGGGAGGGAGGCCTGGGGGGAGGAGACAAGGGGGGAGGAGGAGCTGGAGAAGGGGGGAGGAGGGAAGAGAAACCCTGCCATCCTCGCGAGGTGAAACAGCAACTACGCTTGGTTGGTGTTTGTTTGTTACATCTGGGAGCCCTTACTGAACCCCAGGACCGCTCGGGCTCCTGGGAAGAAGGCCACACCTCTGGGGAGACACATCGCGAGGAAGAGTAAAATCATGAACGACCCCAAAAAGGGAAAACGAGGGAAGGGTAGCTGTACGGGTACCTTCTCCTCCTCCTCCTCCTCCTCCTCCTCCTCCTCCTCCTCCTCCTCCTCCTCCTCCTCCCCCTCCGAGAGAAAGAGAGAGAGAGAGAGCTAGAAGAGAGAGAGAGAGAGAGAGCGAAAGAGCAAGAGGGAAAGAGCGTGTTCCAAGCTCGCCTGCCGTGGACAAGAATCCACGGGGGGCCTCCGCAACCGGGGGTCTCCCCGCCCCGAACAAAAAAGACCAGAGGCCCCCTGCGAAACCGGGGAACCCTCCCCGCCCCGAACCCCCCGACCCCAACCCACCCCACCTGAGGGGGCAAGGGGGGTTCGGGACCCTCTCTCCCCGGGCGCAAGAGGGGGAGGGGGGGACGACAACCCCCTCCAACTCGAAGCTGGCACACGACGTCGTCGTCGTCGTGCTGGTCGTGGTCGTGGTCGGGATCGTCATTTGCCTGCGGCGGGTATCGACTCCCTCCCCCCGTGCGCCAAGGAAGGGAGTCTGGCCCCCCCCTGGCCAGGGGGGGAGGGATTACGCCCGCCATCTGCCAAACCGCACGTTAAAAAAAACTCTGTCTGACCATAACAAGACGTCGGTTGTCTGGGGAGAAGAAGGGAAACGAACGACTGAACGAAAGAATGTCCTCGGTATGGCCATCAACTGAGCCACTATGCCCTATGCGCGTGCAAGAAGGGGGGTGCGGGGAGGAGGATGAGGATAATGACCATAATCAACCAACTATTCAAACATGATGCTGCAAGACACCGTCCCGTCCCAAATCCCCTTCCGAAGACTTCCCTACAAGTCCTCTCTGGTTCTGACAGAAGCGCTCCCCTTGGAAGAACCAGCTCAGTTGGGCCTGTCAGTTAGGCATTCGGCAAGGGCCTGCCTTGACAAGGCATCGCACTGCGTCTCAGCGACGCGTAAATCAGCAACGCATTGCACAATGGTCAAACAGCTCAACGAAGTGTCCAACGAGACCCCCATCTCGCAGAAGGACCGCCCCCCCCCAACCCGTGCAACTGTTGCCCAAGCTTGCCTTGAAGAGAACGCCTTTCCCTCCTCCTCCTCCTCCTCCTCCTCCTCCTCCTCCTCCTCCGTGCACGCTTGCCATGGACACATGTTTGAACACGTCGGACCGTCCCCCCCAACAAAAAACACATTGAGAGCGCCTGGGGAAACCGCGCCCCCCCACCCATTCACACCGGACATCGGCCTCTATGACCTGGGAGTGGGGGAACCCCCGTCCAAAGGCGGGGGTGGGTTCGAACTGGGGTCGGAGGCCTGTGCGCAGGGGGACGGGGAGTTCAAACAGGCGGGGCCTCGCCCTAATAGAACCCGATGTGTGCTCGATCAAACCCTCAGACAATCAATCCTACGACAGCTGGATCAAACTTAAAGTATCGTAGACTGACTCGTTCCAACTGTACTAGATGTACTAGAACCTCACTATAGCCAGATCCAACCTTCATTACATCTTATCAAACTTCACGCCCAGTCGTGCTCGAATGGAACCCTGCTCTAGGTGTGTGGACCCACCTTGACTTGCATCCTAGCCGGGCTCGATCCAAGACTCATAGAATCCTGATATAGCTGGGTCCAACTCTGACTGAAACCTACTCAGGCTCGGTCCAACTATGATAGAATCCGAACTACTATAGCAAGATCAAGCTTCATTTAATCCTACGAGGGCTCGATCAATCCCCAACCGAAATATCGTCAAAGCGGATAGCAAGGATGCACGATAAGGGTGCAAGGGTCTTGAAAGGCCATGCCGACACTTTTCGAGCGGGGTGCGGCTAACGAAAGTGGCCAAGATGGGCCGAAGGATAAGAATGCAAGGAAAACTTGGAAAGCCGCTCATCCTTACTATCAGTGTTGATTAGCAAGAACCCTACTAGGGCTCGACTCAGACCGAAAAGCATCCTGTAAGGATCGGTCGACGTCGTCGTCGTTGTCATCGTGATCGTCGTCGTCGTCGTAATCACCCCCGTCGTCGTCGTCGTGGTCGTGGTCGTTGTCGTCGTCGTTGACGTCGTCGCTGCCCGACAACGCTGGCGCTGGCGCCAGCGCTCACCGTCGTCGGTTGCACGGGGGGGCCTCCCTGGTTCGACCCCCTCCTCCTTGCAATTCGGGGGAAAAGATGGGGCTGCTTGAGCCCCCCATTCCCCCTTCGAGGGGGAGGGGGAGGGGGGCGGGGCCGCGGTTCGAACCCCCCCGCACCAAAGAACGAGGTCGTTCTTACATCTGTGGTCATGAACTACAAAGAAATCTGAAACGACAACGCCAATATGAAAAAGAATCGCCATGGATCCGTGCTGGCCTTGCGATTCTGGGCCTTGCATCTTAGCGAAGTCCCATGGGAAACCTCCATGCTGACAAGAAGAAGTGGTCCGTTGTCCTGCAAAGCGTGGCATGCATAACGAGTGTTCGCAGCGCCGAGATGAGAGCCCCACCGTGAAAACGACAGTCCTCAAGTCTTGCAACTATTCGCAGATTTGGGAACGAATGTTCGCAGTGGAAAAGCGACGGCCCTGCTCTGAAAAAGAACCGCTCTCCACCCGTGAAGCGACTGCAAGAGCTCAAGATGAATGCGCGCGGCGCTACGGCGAGAGCACAAGTTTTGACAACCACCACACCCCTTCAGCCCCGAAAGCGTCGCAAGCTTTTACAACACAGTTTCGAGGCGCCAGAGCGGGACTCACAGTTTGAAACGCCCCCCCCCCTCCGTGAAACCACTGCACATGTTGAAACAAATGCGCACGCGGTGCTAAGGCGAGAGCCACAACTGGGAAAGGAACCGCCCTTCATCCGCCAAGCTGCAGCAAGCTTTGAAGCCGAATGCGCGCGGCGTAAAATTGAGATCTACATCTTGAGAAGGAACCGCCCTCCATCGGTGAAACTACAGTCAACCATGATAGTAAGGATGGGGCAACTGTCCAAGGGCACTCTCGCATCCTTGCCCCTTCGGTATTCTGCATGCTTCGGTATTCTGCTGCGCGCTGCACGGAAAACGTCAACACGGCGTTCCAAGGCCCCTGCATCCTTACCGCGCATCTTAAACTATCCTGGTCGAGTGTATTGCGAACTTTGAGAACGAATGCGCGCGGCGCAAAAACGAGCGCAACAATTTGACCCCCCCTTCATCCGTGAAACGGCTGCAAACGGTTAAAACAAATGTGCGCGGCGCCAATGCGAGAACACATTTCGAAAATGAACCGCACACCATCCGCGAAACGGCTGCAAGGTTTTCAAACGAATGTGCACGGCGCTTAGGCGAACTCCGAATTCTGAGACCCCCCCACTCAATCCGTGAAGCTGCTGCGAACTGCTGGGGAGGGTGCCAGGGTGGCTTTGCCTGCGAAGGGGGAGAGGGGGGGGGGTCCACCCGGGCCCAGGAGAGCCCAAACACGGGCCAAGAGGACCCCAATAGGCTCCCAAGACGGCCCCAGAGGGTCCCGAGTCGTCAAACCATCGATCCAAGACGCCAAAGGTGCCCTCCATACTGCCCAAGGAACTTCCAATACGCCTGAAGAAGCTTCCAAGAGGGCTTCCAAGAGGGACCAAGAGGCTCCCAAGAGAGCTCCAAAACGGCCCAAGAAGGCCTCACAACGGCCCAAGAAGCCCGAAAGACGGCCCAAGAAGGTCCCAGGACAGGCCCAAGAGGGGGCCAGAGGGTGAACAAAAATGTCATGCCGAGCTTTCGACCCCAAGACGCCCCCGGGAGGCTTCAAGAAGCCTCCAAGAAGTCCCAAAGAGGCCCCAATAGGCCCCCAAGAAGCGCCCAAAAGGCCCCCAGTAGGCCATGGTCCTCCTTGACCTCGTCCTCCTTCTTCATCAAGCCCTGCTTGCACGTCGAATGAAGCTCCTCATCATGAGTACGACGCCCACCCCCGTGGGCGTGATGACCCTCCTCTTGTGTTCCTCCTCCTCCTCAGAGTCCCCCCCCTCCTCCTCCTCCTCCTCCTCCTCCTCCTCCTCCTCCTCCGCCTCCTCCTCCCTCCTCCTCCTCCCTCCTCCTCCTCCTCCTCCTCCTCCTCCTCCTCCTCCTCCTCCTCTCGTCCTCTCCTTCTCCTCTTTCTCCTCCTGCTCCTCCTCCTGCTGCTGCTGCTGCGCAGCTGCTCCTCCTCCTCCTCCTCCTCTCTCCTCCTCCTCCTCCTCCTCTCCTCCTCCCTCCTCCTCCTCCTATCATCATCATCATCATCATCATCATCATCATCATCATCATCATCATCATCATCATCATCATCATCATCAGCAGCAGCAGCAGCAGCATCATCATCATCATCATCATCATCAATCATCATCCATCATCATCATCATCATCATCATCATCATCATCATCATCATCATCATCATCATCATCATCATCATCATCATCATCATCGGCATCATCATCATCATCAGCATCACCATCACCATCATCATCATCATCATCATCATCATCATCAGCATCATAATCATCATCATCATCGTCATCAGCATCATCATCATCAACAAAGTCATCATCATCATCAGCATCAGCAGCAGCAGCAGCAGCACCACCATCAGCAGCATCATCATCAGCATCATGAGCAGCATCATCAGCATCATCGTCATGATCAGCATCATCATCAGCATCATCAACATCATCGTCACCATCGTCATCATCAGCATCATCGTCATCATCATCATCAGCATCATCATCATCATCGGCATCATCACCATCAGCATCAGCATCATCATCGTCACCATCATCATCATCATCATCATCATCATCATCGTCATCATCATCATCGTCATCATCGGCATCATCACCATCATCGCCATCATCATCATCGTCATCAACATCATAAGCATCATCAGCATCAGCATTATCATCAGCAGCAGTATCATCATCATGATCATCCTTTCCTCCTCGTCCTTCTCTTTATCATATTCCTCCTCCTCCTTCTCCTCCCCCCCTCTTCCTCCTCCTCCTCCTCATCCTCCTCCTGTCCTCCTCATCATCATCATCATCATCATCATCATCATCCTCAGCATCGCCATCATCGTCATCATCAGCATCATCATCAGCATCATCAGCAACATCATCTGTATTATCCTCATTTCTACTCCTCCTCCCACCTCCTCAGCCTCCTCCTCTTCCGTCTCCTCCTCATCCTCCTGCTCCCGTTGACTCCTCCTCTTCCTCCTCCTCCTCTTTTTCATATCGTCCTCAGCTTTCTCCTCTTCCTCCTCCTTCTCCTGCTTCACTTCCTGTTTTCCATGCTGGCTTCCTCCTCCTCCGCATCCACTCAAAATTGGTCCGCGGACCCCTCCCAGGTCCATCCGGTGCAGGTCTTAATCTTCGGATCGATGCTTGACCGTCCCCAGGAGGGAGGAAGGAGAAGAAGCCAAAGCAGGAATAGAAGAAGGAGCACCGTCTTCGTCGTCGTCGTCCTCGTCAAATTTGCCGCGAATCCAGGGCGCCCCGGATCGGCGGCAGTGGCCAGAGGCCACTGCAATCCGAATTCTGAGAACCGCCCCCCACTCAACCCGTGAAGCTGCTGCAAATTTCAAGCGTCAGGTTCATACGAGGTGAGGAAGTCTCAAGCGAAACGCCCAACCCGCCCTACTGACACGACTGGGGATGCAACAGGGAGAAGTCATGCATCATGAAAAGGAATGGAGAAGGAGCAGAAAGGAGAGCGGAGGACGTTCCACACGACAGCAAGCCTCGGGGGGAACTCCGAGTTTCTGCAGTGCGCTGGAGAACTCGGCCCGCTCCACGAGGCCGTCCTTGTTCGCGTCCATCCTGCGGCCCGGGGCCTGCCTCGCTGCGACCTCTCCAGCTGCGAAGTTCTGCCCCTGACACTCGAGGTGTATCGCAGTTGTTGCGGCCACATTGTCTGACTCTGGCCCATCATTGACTCTGGGGTCGTTCTGGGGTCGTCCTGGGGTCGTCCTGGGGTCGTCCTGGGGTCGTCCTGGGGTCGTCCTGGGGTCGTCCTGGGTCTCTGGGGTCGTCCTGGGGTCTGGATCCGGAGCGGGTCGTCCTGGGGTCGTCCTGGGGACCTCTGGGGTCGTCCTGGGGTCGTCCTGGGGTCGTCCTGGGGTCGTCCTGGGGTCGTCCTGGGGTCGTCCTGGGGTCTGGATCCGGAGCGGCACCCAAACTTACCACCTCCAGCTCCCTGGTTTGCCTACCGTATGTTGATTATTATGGCTCCTCCGCCTTCTCCTCCTCCCGTTCCACCACATCCTGCTCCGTCCTCCTTGTCCTGCTCCTTCCTCCTCCTCCTCCTCCTCCTCCTCCTCCTCCTCCTCCACCTCCTCCTCCTCCGCCTCTTCCTACTCCTCCTCCTCTCCTCCTGCCTCCTCCCCCCTCCTCCTCCTCCTCCTCCTCCTCCTCCTCCTCTCCTCCTCCTCTTCCTCCTCCTCCTCCTCCTCCCCCTCCTCCTCCTCCTCCTCCTCCTTTTCCCCCTCCTCCTCCTCCTCCTCCTCCTCCTCCTCCTCCTCCTCCTCCTCCAGCGAATGCGATGAGCTGGATGTGTTGCTTTCACCCCCTGAAGAAGTCCCACGTGCCCGTGACGATGCGACGCGCAGGCCGGCATGCGGGCAGTCGACGAGGCACGGGGGCCCACAGTGTGCGACACAGGAGACCAAACTGCTGCGGGGTGGCAGTGGCGAAAAATGACCGAATCGGCAGTTCACGGGACGCACAGGGACATACTAATACCATATGTCCTCCTTGGAGGCGCGCGTCCGACCCGAACATGTAGTATACCCATCTTGTAGTATATCATATATATATATATATATATATATATATATATATATCGTTTCCCGAGCGGTGTGGACAGAAAACGCCCGCCACGACGCATATACTATAAGATGTCTCGGTGCGCGCGTCGCCGCTGGGAGGGCGACGCACATATAGAGTAGAAGTATGTTGGAGTGACGCCGAATTCACCCAGATATACACGTTCGCGGAGGCCGCCTAATACATCAGGCCCGTGCTTCTGCGCTATCGCCCGGGTTTCAGGAGATGGAGGGAGCCTGGCAGTGCACCGACCCACCATGCATGGCTTTGTTATCTATACGCGCACTTTAGCTGTCTCTATCATTGCAGTGGATTGGGCTGTGTTCGTTTCCTATTATGCGTGCGTTTAGTCACGCAGCGCCAGCATGGTCTGAAAAGGAGCGCACTCGCCTTCGGATAGTTGGCTTGGGCGCAAGATTATCGACACTGGTGGGCAACCACTCATTGTTCATTGGTGGTTCTAAAATGCACAGTGCCTTACGGAGTACGAGACGTCAACGTTGTACACCATTCTCTGAGGCTCTCAGAACGCTCTGCCCTCAGGAGTTCCCAGGAGAATCCAGGAGAATCCTCCTCCTCCTCCTCCTCCAGCTCCTCCACCTGTCCTCACTCATGCCACTACTGGTCCCCAGGTGGCTCCACGAAACCCACAAAAGGCCCCAAGACGCCCAGGAAACCCTCGGAGGCCCTAAGAGGCACGTTGCATCCCCGTGCGCTCCACTCCCGCTGGAGGTCACGCGGCACTATGTCGGGGTGGGCGTTGCGCCTGGCAGGCGTCCATCAGCGGCCGTGGCCCCAATGCGACAAGCCGACCATCCGTCGCAGCCGCTGCGGCCTCCTCCTCCTGACCCCCCTCCTCCTCCTGCTCTTCCTGCTCCTCCTCCGTCCTCCTCCTCCTCGTCCTACTGCTTCTCCTCCTCCTCCTCCTCCTTTTCCTCCTCCCCCATCCTCCTGTTCATGTTAGCCACTGTGGACCTCAAACAGTAAGACCTTGCAATCGATGTGGGGCAAGCTGTGTGGTGCAACCTGTGTGGTGTAAACTATGTAGGTCACCCTGTTTAGTGGAATGTAGATGATGCAAGGCATGTGGCGAAGTCTATAGTATGGTGCAACCTGTGTAGTGTGCACTGTGTGGTGCAATCCAGGTGGTGCAACCATTGCGGCGTAAGCAATGTGGACCTAAGCAATGTGAACCATCAAGGTGGTGCAACCTATGTGGTGCAGGAAATGTGGTGAAGCCCATGTGGTGCAACTGAGGTGATGCAGTTCAGGTGGTGTAATCTATGCGGTGCAGTCTGCGTGGTGCAATCCACCTGGGGCAGCCGATGCGGCGCAAGCAGTGTGAAGCAGCCCATCTGCGTGGTTCAATCGATGTTGTGCAACCCATGTGGAGCAATATGCATTCGAACGCCCTTGCGCGTGTGCGGGGGGCACGATCCCTGTCAAATGAATTCCATGCGGGCCACTCGCGCGCGTCGGCCGCGCGCGCATGTCGAAACCCGTCCAACACCTTCATCGCGATCATCGTCATCGGCGTGATCAGCATCGGCGCCGTCATTGGCTTCGTCGTCGTCATCGTCAGCGTCGCCGCGAGCATCATCGTGTCTGCCATTGTCGACGTCGCCATGGTACCGCGCCCGCTCGAGGCGCTGGGAAGTGCCCAGCGGTCACCGCCACCGCGGCCGCGTCGGTCGCGCCAGACTAGCTGGTCGCTATGCGCGCGAGCCTGCGCGCGCAAGCGCGGCTGCGGCGATGCGCCAGCCAGCGCCAAAATCAACCGCAATCGCCGCCGCATGGGATTTGCAATCAAGTTGCGGGTGGGTGGGTGAGATGTGTGCACGGGCATAGGGGGTGGTCGTGCGCGGAACAAGCTGGATAATGCGCGCGGGAGGCACGTTTGGCTGCATGTGAACAACATGTTGAAACGCCATTGGTGTTCTCATGAATTCGAAAGAGCGCGCGCACAGACAGATTGGAAACCATGTGGTCGGGACACTCGATGTTGAAATCCCTGCAAGACGTAAGGTTGTTGACTGATGCGGACGTGCGCGCGACGACGCGCGCGTGCACGTCGGCCCATCGGTTGCAAGAACAAAATTGACGAATTGAAAAAAGTATGGCGGGAGGGTTGGGGCGGACACCAGTGGGCTGGGACAGTAGAGTTCAACTGGGAAATGCACCCAGAGACGGGATCATATGCAAAATGTAACACGCGAGGTTGGGGGGTGAAGTCTGGCTTCGGCGAGGTGGTGGGATCCTTTCTCGTGTAGAAAAGAGGGTCGATGTGGTGCCACCTACGTGGCGCAAGCTTTGTGGAGCAAGCCACGTGGTATAATCCACGTGGCGCAACCGATGTTGTGCAAACAACACCTATATACATGTCTATACATACATACATGCATACGTACATACCTACATACGTACATTCTGAGCTATTTACATGCATACATACAAACGTATACTTGTGGCGCAAGCTATGTGGTGCTACCACCGCGATGCAATCTGTATGGCGCATGCTATGTGGAGCAAGCTATGTGGTACAATCGACACGGGGCAGTTGCTGTTGACAAAAAACTTGGGTTGTCAACTACAGCGTTCGCGCGATCACCCCACCCACCCACCCGCAACTTGGTTTGTAAAGCCGATGCGGCGGCGATTGCGATGGGTGCTGGGTGCTGGCCGGTGCATCTGCGCGGCCGCGCAAGGCCGCTCGTGCTTGTGCAGCGGCCAGCGATCTTTGCGCGACCGACGCGGCCGCGGCGGCGCTGACCGCTAGGAACTTCCCAGAGCGTCTCGCAGGCCGCGCTGACGCGCGGGCACCTCAGTGCGAGTCGGTGACTCATGCGGATGCGGTATCATGGCGACGTCCACAACGGTAGACACGATGATGATAGTAGCAAAGACAGTGGCGATGATGACGATGACGAAGGCAAGGCAAATGACGACGCCGATGCTGACCACGTCGATGACGACGATGGCACACTCGAGTCAGCGATGATTGCTGTTGGTTTCGGCACGCGCGCAGCCGACGCGCGAGAGTGGTCCGCATGAAATTATCGGACAGGGATCGCGCCCCCCCACACCCCCCCACACCCCACCCCCCAGCACTCGCGCGAGGGCACTCGAATGATTTCAACATGCGCGCGAGAGGGCCGCTTGGTCAAATGTGATGAGATCGTTGAAAAAAGTGTGTTTAGAATTCGGCAAAACGTGCAAACCGTTTTTGTTCGAAAACGTATGTTGCACAACCGTGTGCTTTTATGATTCCGGGGCGCTCGATTTGGAAGTCCTCACGGAACCCGAAGATTTGTGAAGATTGCACGCGCGCGCGACGACGCGCGCGTTTGCCTTTCGCCCCGCCGTGCGCAGCTAAGTCGTAACGACTGCGCGCACATGATGTTGTGTGCGCGGGATGGTGCGGAGGGCGGTTCGATGCCAGCTTGTCTGAAATGGTTCAATATCAAATTTGGAATCAGCGGTGGGGCAGGATCCCATGCAACTTGCACATCCACGGGGGGGGGGGCGCTGATCCCGGTCTCGGGGAGGCGGTAGGTCCTAACTCCTTTTCAGCATGGAGAATCTATGCGGTGCAGACTATGCGGCGCAATCTATGAAGCCCAGCAGCAGCGGCGACGCGGCGGCGGGCGGCGACGGGGCGGCGACGGCGACGGGCGGCGACGCGGCGGCGACGCAGCGGCGACGAGGCGGCGACGGAGACAACATAGCCCCCAGACCCACCCGCTGGCCCAAACGACGGGCGTCGACGAGACTGCAACGGGGCAGCGACGGCGACTGCGTCGCAGCGCCAGACCGACCCGCGGGCCCGGGCGACGGGCGGCGACGAGGCGGCGACGGGGCGGCGGCGGCGACGACACAGCCGCCGGACAGACCCGCAAGCCCATTTCCCGTTTACCAAACAAGTAAGACACCCGAAATGCAACCACTGCTTGGGAAACAGCCCCCCCCCCCTAACGCACCCGCGGATGCGTCGGCGG